TGAGGCGGATCTCCCGAAGCTCAGAATCCGCGACAACACTGAGGTAGACGTCATTGACCTGCCAAACATGAAGGGAAGAAACGTCGTACTGAAGACCGAGATTCCCGACGTTGATCTGCCAAAGTTGCCAGCAAACCTGAAAGTAGACAAGATCACACTACCGAACGGTTCCATTAAGAACATGTTGACACAAAAGTTCCAAGGAAACGCAGAACTGAATCTGCCTAAGCTGTCTGGGGCTGACATTGATGAGGTGAAGATGCCAGATGGATCGTTGAAGACGTCATTTAGGCCTAAGCCTGGTTTCAAATGGCCTAAGATTAAACTCCCGTCTCTGCAGATGCCGGACTGGGAGTTTGGATCAAGGGAGAGATCGCCAAGTCTTGAAAAGAAGACGGAAACCTCGGATGGTGATTTCCACTTTGGCATTAAAATGCCTTCGTTTGGTTTTGGTAGCAAGGGGCCCAAGATACCTAAATTTGATGGTCTAGACGGGATGCTTGAGTACCTGCTTCCTCAGGCGGATCTCCCGAAGCTGAGAATCCGCGACAACACGGAGGTGGATGTCATTGACCTGCCAGACATGAAGGGAAGAACTGTTGAAGTAAAGACAAACATCCCCGATGTCGATCTTCCGAAGCTTTCGGCGGACTTGAAGGTGAATAAGTGTACCCTTCCTGATGGCTCAGTGGAAAATGTTCTCAACCAGAAATTCGAGGCTAGTCCGGAGCTCCCCCTCCCGAAAATCAGTGCTGCCGAAATCAGTGACATCACACTGCCGGACGGTTCTATAAGAACTTCCTTCAAACCGAAGGCGGGCTTCAGATGGCCGAAGATCACGCTGCCGTCTTTACAGATGCCAGACTGGGAGTTTGGTTCGGGGCGTCGCTCTCGATCACCGAGTTTGGACAAAGAATCAAGAGGGCTGGGTTTCAAGATGCCAGCCGTATCTTTGAAGAAACCATCTGTCAACTTTGATGGTATTGGTGATCTGTTGGACTTCGCTATTCCCAAGGCGAAGATCCCGTCGCTCTACTTCCGAGAAAACTCGAACGTAGAATTTGTTGACATGCCCACTGGAAAACGCCAGCTGGTTATCGAAACCGATGTTCCAGACGCAGATCTACCGAACCTTCCAGCAGATGCCCAGGTTGAATCATTCGATCTTCCCGGTGGAGGAAAGCGCCGCGTTTGGCGGCAGTGCTTCGATGTTGACTCGGACTTCGAACTTCCCGAAATTGATGGAGCGGAGAAGGTCGATGTGAAGCTTCCTGACGGTAGCGTTAAATGGTCGTATAAACCAAAAGGTGGGGTCAAGTGGCCTGAGATCCATATGCCAAGGTTACAGCTGCCTGATTGGGAATTCCGAAAGAGCGGCAAGGAGCTATCACCAAGTGTTGCGAAGAGAGATACGTCGTTCCATCTCAAAATGCCTTCGTTTGGATTTGGAAAGAGTGGAAAAGTTCCTAAGGTGGATGGTGTTGACGGCTTGTTGGGCTATCTTTTGCCCGAGAGTGATCTGCCGAATCTTCGCATACGAGACGACACCGAAGTGGACGTCATTGATCTTCCGGGGATAAAGAGACGAGATGTCGTGGTTAGGACGTCTATCCCCGAAGCTGACGTGCCCAAGCTTCCTGCTGACCTGAAGGTAGAGAAGATCACTCTTCCCGATGGTACACTTGTGAACATCCTTAAGCAAAGCTTTTCAGGAGATGCAGAAATCCCGCTACCAAAGGTTTCGGTCGCCGATATCGACGAAATGAAGCTTCCAGATGGCTCCATGAAGACGACATTCAAGCCGAAGGCCGGGTTCTCGTGGCCGGAGATCACGCTTCCCTCTCTGAGGATGCCCGATTGGAAGTTCAGCTCCGGGAGCAAGTCCAAATCTGCCAGCTTGGACCGCAAGGGCAGTAAGGGTGAGCACGACTTCAGTCTTGGTTTCCGAATGCCGTCATTCGGGTTCAAAAAGGGCGCCAAGGCTCCCAAGTTTGATGGTGTTGATGCACTGCTAGGCTATCTCCTGCCTGAGAAAGACATCCCAAAACTAAGGATTCGTGATAACACCGAAGTGGACGTGATTGACTTCCCGAAGCTGAAGACACGTGATGTGCAGGTCCGTACGGAAATCCGTGACGCAGACGTTCCGAAGCTCTCTGCTGATCTCCAGTGCGACGATGTGACCCTTCCGGACGGTACCATCAAAAAGGTTTTGAACCAAAAATTCCAAGGAGACATCGATCTGCCGCTACCCAAGATGCTTGGAGCAGATGTGGATGAGGTTAAGGGTCTGGACGGTTCTGTGAAGACAACTTTTAAACCAAAGAGTGGATTCAAGTGGCCAAAGATTGCCCTGCCGACATTGGAAATGCCCGACTGGGAGTTCAGATCCGGCGAAAGATCTCCAACCGCTGAGCGAAAGGGAGACAAAGAAGACCACGAATACCATGCAGGGCTGAAAATGCCTTCATTTGGCTTGAAAAAGGGCGTGAAGACTCCAAAGTTTGATGGCATCGATGGTCTTCTTGGTTATCTCCTGCCCGAAGGGGACATACCAAAACTCAAACTCCAAGATAACAGCGAAGTCGACGTCATTGATCTTCCTAACCTGAAAGGAAGAGAGGTGCTGGTGCATTCTGAGATCCCTGATGTCGATATTCCTAACCTTTCCAGTGGTCTTGAGGTTGATAAAATAACTCTTCCGGATGGCAGCATCAAAAACATGTTGACTCAAAAGTTCTCGGCAAACGCCGAACTTCATCTCCCGAAGGTATCTGGCGCCGAGGTGTCTGACGTGAAAATGCCAGATGGTTCACTGAAGACGACCTTCAAACCCAAGGCTGGATTCCGGTGGCCCCAATTTACACTTCCCAGCCTCCAGATGCCAGACTGGGAGTTCAGGTCGGGCGAAAAGCCGAAGTCATCATCGCTGGAACGAAAGGAGAGCAAGGGAGATCGTGATTTCCATTTAGGTCTCAAGATGCCCTCCTTCGGGTTGAAGAAGGGGACGAAGGTTCCGAAGTTCGACGGCATTGATGGCGTGCTTGGGTATTTGCTGCCAGAAGCGGACATACCAAAGCTCAGAATCCGCGACAGCACCGAGGTTGACGTCATTGATCTGCCGGAGCTAAAGGGGCGTGAGGTGGTTGTGAGGACCGACATCCCTGATGCTGACCTCGGCAAACTTTCGGAGTTCGAAATCGAGAAAGTGCCGCTTCCGGACGGCAACATTAAAGCAGTCCTAAATCAGAGGTTCAAAGGTGAAGTAGACCTGCCTCTGCCAAAGCTTTCTGGCGCGGATGTTGACGACTGCAAGCTTCCTGATGGCAGCGTGAAAACCACTTTCAAGCCAAAGGCTGGATTCAAATGGCCAAAAGTCACCCTGCCGACTCTTCAGATGCCCGACTGGGAGTTTGATTCAGGCGACAAAGACAAGACTACAAGCTTAGAGCGTGGTATGAGACTGCCCTCGTTTGGTTTCAAAAAGGGGGTGAAGATTCCAAAGTTTGACGGCGTCGATGGTCTGTTGGGATATTTGCTCCCAGAAACGGACATACCGAAGCTCAGAATTCGCGACAACACGGAGGTCGATGTGATCGATATGCCCCAGATGAAGGGAAGGGACGTTGTGGTGAGAACAGAAATACCCGACGCGGACCTACCCAAACTGTCGGCTGATTTGAAGGTGGAGAAAGCAACGCTTCCTGATGGCAGTATTAAGAACGTGCTGAACCAGACATTCAACGGCACTGCTGAGCTTCCACTTCCAAAGGTCTCTGGCGCCGATATAGACGAGGTCAAACTGCCAGATGGCAGCGTTCAGACCACGTTCAAACCCAAAGCTGGCTTCCGATGGCCAAAGGTTACTCTTCCAACACTCGAAATGCCAGACTGGAGTTTCTCCTCTGGTGAGAAGTCTGCTAGCTTGGAAAGGAAGGAGCCCAAAGGAGATCATGATTTCCATATGGGGATCAAAATGCCATCATTCGGGTTCAAAAAGGGTGTGAAAGCTCCCAAATTTGACGGCGTCGATGGCCTTCTCGGATATCTTCTCCCCGAAAAGGATTTGCCTTCGCTGCGACTTCGAGACAGCACTGAAGTGGATGTTATTGACATGCCATCCACGAAAATGCGCGACATCCATGTGCGGACAGTTATACCTGACGCAGACCTTCCGAAATTCCCCACTGATGTTCATGTGGAGAAGATCCCTTCGCCTGATGGGAAACTGGCGAGTGAGGTGATCCAAAAATACAAGGGAAATCTTGACCTTGCCCTTCCGAAGGTAAGTGGCGCCGACGTGAAAGATGTCAAGCTGCCTGATGGGTCTGTGAAGACGACCTTCAAGCCAAAAGCTGGATTCAAGTGGCCGAAGATCACTCTTCCTTCGTTAGAAATGCCTGACTGGGAGTTCCGCTCCGGGGATAGGTCACCGTCCCCCGAAAGAAAAGGTGCGAAGGTTGGAGAAGGAGATTCAGGGTTTGGGATCACGATGCCCTCCTTTGGTTTGAGAAAGGGTGTCAAGGTCCCCAAGGTTGAGGGAATCGACGGCCTCCTCAGCTATGTGCTGTCGGAAGGAGACGTCCCGAAACTGAGAATTCGCGACAACACCGAAGTGGACGTTATCGACTCGTCCGATGGAAAAGACCGTGATGTGTTTGTAAGGACATCCCTTCCTGAAGCCGATCTCCCGAAGTTGTCCGCTGACCTGCTCGCTCAGGTCGAAAAGATAACTCTCCCTGACGGGCATGTGGAGAACGTCTTGAGTCAGCGGTTTAAGGCTAATGCTGACTTGGCGCTCCCCAAGATGTCTGGTGCGGACATCAACGACATCAAGCTGCCAGATGGATCACTTAAAACTACTTTCAGACCGAAAGCCGGTTTCAAATGGCCCAAGATCACACTGCCGTCCCTGCAGATGCCAAACTGGGAGTTCGCTTCCGGTGATCGGTCGCCGAGTCCTGACAGAAAGCAGAAGGGTGATAGTGATTTCCACTTTGGCATGAAAATGCCCTCGTTCGGTTTCGGTAGCAAGGGACCAAAGATACCTAAATTTGATGGTCTGGATGGGATGCTTGAGTACCTGCTCCCTGAGGCGGATCTCCCGAAGCTCAGAATCCGCGACAACACTGAGGTAGACGTCATTGACCTGCCAAACATGAAAGGAAGAGACGTTGTTGTGAAGACCGAAATTCCTGATGTCGATCTGCCAAAGTTGGCAGCAAACCTGAAAGTAGACAAGATGACACTACCTGACGGTTCTGTGAAGAACATGCTGAACCAAAAATTCCAGGGAAATGCGGAATTGCCTCTGCCAAAGTTGTCAGCGGCTGACATTGACGAAGTGAAGCTGCCAGATGGCTCCATCAAGACGTCGTTCAAGCCTAAGGCAGGGTTCAAATGGCCTAAGATCAGCCTGCCTTCCCTGCAGATGCCAGACTGGGAGTTTGGATCAAGGGAGAGATCTCCAAGTCCTGAAAAGAAGGTGGAAAGTTCGGATGGTGATTTCCACTTTGGTATGAAGATGCCCTCGTTCGGCTTCGGTAGCAAGGGGCCAAAGGTACCCAAATTTGATGGTCTCGATGGAATGCTTGAGTACCTGCTCCCTGAGGCGGATCTCCCGAAGCTCCGAATCCGCGACAACACTGAGGTAGACGTCATCGACCTGCCAAACATGAAGGGGAGAGACGTTGTAGTGAAGACCGAAATTCCCGACGTGGATCTGCCAAAGTTGTCGGCAGACCTGAAAGTAGACAAGATGACACTACCTGATGGTTCCATCAAGAACATGCTGAACCAGAAATTCCAGGCAAACGCAGAATTGGCCCTGCCAAAGCTGTCTGGGGCTGACATTGACGAAGTGAAGATGCCAGATGGCTCCATCAAGACGTCGTTCAAGCCCAAGGCAGGGTTCAAATGGCCTAAGATCAGCCTGCCTTCCCTGCAGATGCCAGACTGGGAGTTTGGATCAAGGGAGAGATCTCCCAGCCCTGAAAAGAAGGTGGAAAGTTCAGATGGTGATTTCCATTTTGGCATGAAAATGCCCTCGTTCGGTTTCGGTAGCAAGGGACCAAAGATACCTAAATTTGATGGTCTCGATGGAATGCTTGAGTACCTGCTCCCTCAGGCGGATCTCCCGAAGCTCAGAATCCGCGACAACACTGAGGTAGACGTCATTGACCTGCCAAACATGAAGGGCAGAGACGTTGTGGTGAAGACCGAGATACCCGACGTCGATTTGCCAAAATTGCCAGCAAACCTGAAAGTGGAAAAACTGACGCTACCTGACGGTTCAATCAAGAACATGCTGAACCAGAAATTCCAGGCAAACGCAGAATTGGCTCTGCCAAAGCTGTCGGGGGCAGATGTTGACGAAGTGAAGCTGCCAGATGGCTCCATCAAGACGTCATTTAAGCCCAAGGCAGGGTTCAAATGGCCTAAGATCAGCCTGCCTTCCCTGCAGATGCCAGACTGGGAGTTTGGATCAAGGGAGAGATCTCCAAGTCCTGAAAAGAAGGTGGAAAGTTCAGATGGTGATTTTCACTTTGGTATGAAGATGCCCTCGTTCGGTTTCGGTAGCAAGGGGCCAAAGGTACCCAAATTTGATGGTCTGGATGGGATGCTTGAGTACCTCCTCCCTGAGGCGGATCTCCCGAAGCTCAGAATCCGCGACAACACTGAGGTAGACGTCATTGACCTGCCAAACATGAAGGGGAGAGACGTTGTGGTGAAAACTGAAATTCCTGACGTCGATCTGCCGAAGTTGCCAGCAACCCTGAAAGTAGATAAGGTCACACTACCCGACGGTTCAATCAAGAATATGCTGAACCAGGATTTCAAGGCCAATCCAGAGCTACCACTGCCTAAACTGTCCGGAGCTGATATCGGCGACATTACGCTGCCAGATGGCTCCATCAAGACCCACTTCAAGCCGAAGGTGGGCTTCAAATGGCCAAAGGTCACTTTGCCGTCGCTGCAGTTGCCGGACTGGCAGTTCGGCTCTAGCGAGAGGTCGCCGAGTCCAGAAAGGAAAGGAGATGGACACTTCGACCTGGGTATTAAAATGCCATCCTTCGGCTTCGGCAGCAGTACAAAGTCGCCGAAAGTTTCAGGCATTGATGGACTTCTGGGATACCTTCTCCCGGAAGCAGACATCCCGAAGCTGAGAATTCGTGACAACACGGAGGTCGATGTTATTGATCTGCCGGATGGGAAAGGCAGGACAGTTGACGTCAGAACTGAGATTCCCGCTGCTGACATGCCGGGGATCGGCGGGAAGTATGACGTCCGCGATCTCACGCTTCCAGATGGAAAGGTGAAACACGTGCTGACACAGCAGTTTTGTTGCAACGCGGAGGTCCCGCTACCGAAAGTGGGTGGATCGGATGTGGATAGCCTGAAGATGCCCGATGGCTCAATGAAAACAACATTTAAGCCAAAGGCTGGATTTTCGTGGCCTAAAATCACACTTCCCAGTCTGCAACTTCCCGACTGGGAATTCGGCAGCGGTGGTAACAAGCCCAGTGCTGATGTCGAAGCGGATTACCACCTTGGCTTGTCGACGCCGTCATATGCACTGGAGAAGGGCTCGAAGCCCCCTAAACTGCATGGAATTGATGCCCTTCTTGCCTATTTGCTCCCTGAAAAGGATTTCCCCAAGCTACGGATACGAGACAGCACCGAAGTGGATGTCATTGACATCCCTGAAGCTCGAGTTCGGAACATCCACGTTCGCACGGACGTACCCCAAGCTGACATCCCAAAACTGCCATCAAGCCTCGACGTGGAGCAAACCACACTGCCTGACGGCAGAGCCCAGAGCACTTTGCTTCAGAAGTTTAGCGGTGACATTGACATGGTGCTCCCTAAAGTGCACGGAGCAGATATTGACGAGTCCAGCCTTCCAAACGGCGTACTGAAGACCACTTTCAAGCCGAAAGCTGGCTTCAAATGGCCAGAGATTACTCTGCCTACCTTGGAAATGCCTGACTGGGATTTCCATTCAGAACCTTCAAGTGCATCAGCAAAGGTCGGAAAAGGTGGTGACGATCACCACTTTGGCATAAAGATGCCTTCCTTCGGTTTCGGAAAAGGTACCAAGGTGCCAAAACTGAACGGTATCGATGGGCTCTTGAGTTATCTCCTGCCGGAGTCAGACCTCCCGAAATTGAAGATCAGAGACAGTTCGGAGGTTCTAGTAGTCGACAATGCTCCGGGATTCAACGGACGTAAGATTGTGGTCCAGACTGAAATACCGGATGGTGAGTTACCCGGACTTTTGGATGATGCCAGCCTAGAAACGATAACGTTGCCAGACGGTCAAGTAAAGCACATCATGAAGCAGGAGTTTGCGGGAGATGCCAGTCTTCCGCTTCCGAAAGTAAGTGGAGCTGACATCGAAGGCATGCAGTTGCCGGATGGCAGCACGCAGACCTCTTTCAAGCCAAAAGCGGGTTTCAAGTGGCCGAAGATCACCATGCCTTCGTTCGGCATGCCAGACTGGGAGTTCCGTTCCGGTGAACGTTCCCCCAGTCCTGAACGGAAGTCAAGCAAGGACAGCGAACATCATTTCGGGATCAGAATGCCGTCCTTTGGACTCAAGAAGGGGGTAAAGACGCCAAAATTCGATGGGATTGATGGTTTGCTGGGCTATGTGCTCCGTGAGGTGGATTTGCCGAAGATCCGCATTAAGGACGATACGGAAGTGGACATCATAGATGTCCCGGAGCCGAAGGGTCGCAGCGTTATTCTGAGGACCAGCGTTCCCGATGGCGACTTGCCTAAGATTCCGGCAGGCTTGCAAGTGAACAAACTGACGGCCTCCGATGGAAGCATCAAGAACGTGATGGAGCAGAAGTTCCCCGGTAACGTCGACTTGCACCTGCCTAAGGTGACTGGGGCAGACATTTCCGAGCTCAAACTCCCTGACGGTGCCGTCAAGACCACCTACCGACCGAAGCCCGGTTTCAAATGGCCTCAGATTACGCTTCCCTCACTGCAGATGCCTGACTGGGAGTTTGGTTCCAAAGCAGAGGCCAAAGACGTTACACTGGAAAGGAAGGATAGCAAGGGTGATCATGACTTCCACCTCGGTCTGAAGATGCCGTCCTTTGGGTTTAAGAAGAGCGCCAAGCCTCCGAAATTTGACGGAATCGACGGCCTTTTGGGCTATCTTCTTCCGGAAAGAGACCTTCCCTCGCTACGCATTCGAGACAACACTGAGGTGGACGTTGTGGACCTGCCCAATGGCACGGGACGTGATATCACAGTCCGAACATGCATACCTGATGAGAAACTCTCCCAGCAACCAGCAGAACTGAAGATCAGCAAGATCACCCTGCCAGATGGCTCTGTCAAAAGCGAGCTCGCGCAGCAGTACGTCGGGAATGCGCAACTTGTTCTTCCGAAGGTCTCAGGTGCGGTGATCGACGAGGTCAAGCTTCCTAATGGCGGCCTAAAAACCACCTATAAGCCCAAACCTGGATTCAAATGGCCAAAAATATCTCTACCTGGTCTTCAAATGCCGGATTGGGAGTTCCGTTCAGGAGAAACTCCGAAAGAAAAGTCATCCAGTCTCGAAAGGGGCTTGAAACTTCCGTCCTTCGGGTTCAAAAAGGGAGTCAAGACTCCCAAATTCGATGGGTTGGATGGTCTTTTAGGCTATCTTATTCCCGAAACCGACCTACCAAAGCTGAGAATCCGTGACAACACCGAGGTGGATGTTATTGACCTCCCGGCACTTAAAGGTAGAGATGTTGTGGTGAAGACTGAGATCCCAGACGTCGACCTACCGAAACTTTCTGCTGATCTGAAGACGGAAAAGGTCACCCTTCCCACCGGCGAGATCAAGAACATCCTGAACCAGACCTTCAAAAGTGACGTTGAACTCCCGTTGCCAAAGTTATCAGGAGCAGACATCGACAGCATGAAGCTTCCCGATGGGTCAGTGAAAACATCGTTCAAACCCAAGGCTGGGTTCAAGTGGCCTAAGATCACGCTGCCGTCACTTCACATGCCAGATTGGCAGTTTGGTTCGTCAGATCGCTCACCAAGCCCTGAGAGGAAAGAGAAAGGAGACAGTGACTTCCACTTTGGAATGAAAATGCCGTCGCTGGAGTTCGGCAAGGGAACAAAGACTCCGAAGCTGCACGGCATCGATGCACTTCTGGCGTACTTCCTGCCTGAAGCAGACATTCCCAAGCTTCGCATCCGTGACAACACAGAGGTTGACGTGCTGGACCTTCCCGGAGGAAAGGGCAGAGAGGTCGTACTGAGGACCGAAGTACCTGATGCAGATCTCCCGAAAGTGCCAGCTGGCATTCAGGTTGACAAGGTCACACTTCCCAGTGGGAAGGTGGCCAACGTCCTGACGCAGAAATTCAAGGCTGACGCCGCACTGCCGATGCCAAAGGTTTCTGGAGCGGACACTGGCGATGTGAAGCTCCCGGACGGTTCACTGAAGACGACGTTCAAGCCGAAGGCTGGCTTCAAATGGCCAACTCTGATGCTACCGACTTTGGAAATGCCCGACTGGCAGTTCAGCTCTGGTGAGCGGTCGCCGAGCCCCGAGAGGAAGGAGAAAGGTGACAAAGATTTCCACTTTGGCATGAAAATGCCGTCGTTTGGTTTCGGAAAGGGAGTGAAGACGCCGAAACTCGATGGCATTGATAACCTGCTTGGCTATCTGCTTCCGGAGGGTGACCTACCGAAGCTGAGAATCCGTGACAACACCGAGGTGGAGGTCACTGACTTGCCCGAACTGAAAGGCAGAGATGTTGTTGTGAAGACCGAGATCCCTGATGTCGATCTTCCGAAGCTGTCTGCGGATCTGAAGACAGAAAGGATCACGCTTCCTGATGGCGAGATAAAGAACATGTTGAATCAGAAGTTCAGTGGCAGTGCCGAACTTCCACTACCGAAAGTGTCCGGAGCAGACATTGACAGCGTTAAGCTTCCGGATGGGTCAGTGAAGACATCGTTCAAGCCGAAGGCTGGGTTCAAGTGGCCTAAGATCACGCTGCCGTCACTCCACATGCCAGATTGGCAGTTTGGTTCGTCGGATCGGTCACCAAGCCCTGAGAGGAAAGAGAAAGGAGACAGTGACTTCCACTTCGGTATGAAAATGCCGTCGCTGGAGTTCGGCAAGGGAACAAAGACTCCGAAGCTGCACGGCATCGATGCGCTTCTGGCGTACTTCCTGCCTGAAGCAGACATTCCCAAGCTTCGCATCCGTGACAACACAGAGGTTGACGTGCTGGACCTTTCGGGAGGAAAGGGCAGAGAGGTCGTACTGAGGACCGAAGTACCTGATGCAGATCTCCCGAAAGTGCCAGCTGGCATTCAGGTTGACAAGGTCACACTTCCCAGTGGGAAGGTGGTCAACGTCCTGACGCAGAAATTCAAGGCTGACGCCGCACTGCCGATGCCAAAGGTTTCTGGAGCGGACACTGGCGATGTGAAGCTCCCGGACGGTTCACTGAAGACGACGTTCAAGCCGAAGGCTGGCTTCAAATGGCCAACTCTGATGCTACCGACTTTGGAAATGCCCGACTGGCAGTTCAGCTCTGGTGAGCGGTCGCCGAGCCCCGAGAGGAAAGGTGACAAAGATTTCCACTTTGGCATGAAAATGCCGTCGTTTGGTTTCGGAAAGGGAGTGAAGACGCCGAAACTCGATGGCATTGATAACCTGCTTGGCTATCTGCTTCCGGAGGGTGACCTACCGAAGCTGAGAATCCGTGACAACACCGAGGTGGAGGTCACTGACTTGCCCGAACTGAAAGGCAGAGATGTTGTCGTGAAGACGGAGATTCCTGATGTCGATCTTCCGAAGCTGTCTGCGAATCTGAAGACAGAAAAGATCACGCTTCCTGATGGCGAGATAAAGAACATGTTGAATCAGAAGTTCAGTGGCAGTGCCGAACTTCCACTACCGAAAGTGTCCGGAGCAGACATTGACAGCGTTAAGCTTCCGGATGGGTCAGTGAAGACATCGTTCAAGCCGAAGGCTGGGTTCAAGTGGCCTAAGATCACGCTGCCGTCACTCCACATGCCAGATTGGCAGTTTGGTTCGTCGGATCGGTCACCAAGCCCTGAGAGGAAAGAGAAAGGAGACAGTGACTTCCACTTTGGTATGAAAATGCCGTCGCTGGAGTTCGGCAAGGGAACAAAGACTCCGAAGCTGCACGGCATCGATGCGCTTCTGGCGTACTTCCTGCCTGAAGCAGACATTCCCAAGCTTCGCATCCGTGACAACACAGAGGTTGACGTGCTGGACCTTCCGGGAGGAAAGGGCAGAGAGGTCGTACTGAGGACCGAAGTACCAGATGCAGATCTCCCGAAAGTGCCAGCTGGTATTCAGGTTGACAAGGTCACACTTCCCAGTGGGAAGGTGGCCAACGTCCTGACGCAGAAATTCAAGGCTGACGCCGCACTGCCGATGCCAAAGGTTTCTGGAGCGGACACTGGCGATGTGAAGCTCCCGGACGGTTCACTGAAGACGACGTTCAAGCCGAAGGCTGGCTTCAAATGGCCAACTCTGATGCTACCGACTTTGGAAATGCCCGACTGGCAGTTCAGCTCTGGTGAGCGGTCGCCGAGCCCCGAGAGGAAGGAGAAAGGTGACAAAGATTTCCACTTTGGCATGAAAATGCCGTCGTTTGGTTTCGGAAAGGGAGTGAAGACGCCGAAACTCGATGGCATTGATAACCTGCTTGGCTATCTGCTTCCGGAGGGTGACCTACCGAAGCTGAGAATCCGTGACAACACCGAGGTGGAGGTCACTGACTTGCCCGAACTGAAAGGCAGAGATGTTGTTGTGAAGACCGAGATCCCTGATGTCGATCTTCCAAAGCTGTCTGCGAATCTGAAGACAGAAAAGATCACGCTTCCTGATGGCGAGATAAAGAACATGTTGAATCAGAAGTTCAGTGGCAGTGCCGAACTTCCACTACCGAAAGTGTCCGGAGCAGACATTGACAGCGTTAAGCTTCCGGATGGGTCAGTGAAGACATCGTTCAAGCCGAAGGCTGGGTTCAAGTGGCCTAAGATCACGCTGCCGTCACTCCACATGCCAGATTGGCAGTTTGGTTCGTCGGATCGGTCACCAAGCCCTGAGAGGAAAGAGAAAGGAGACAGTGACTTCCACTTTGGAATGAAAATGCCGTCGCTGGAGTTCGGCAAGGGAACAAAGACTCCGAAGCTGCACGGCATCGATGCACTTCTGGCGTACTTCCTGCCTGAAGCAGACATTCCCAAGCTTCGCATCCGTGACAACACAGAGGTTGACGTGCTGGACCTTCCCGGAGGAAAGGGCAGAGAGGTCGTACTGAGGACCGAAGTACCTGATGCAGATCTCCCCAAAGTGCCAGCTGGCATTCAGGTTGACAAGGTCACACTTCCCAGTGGGAAGGTGGTCAACGTCCTGACGCAGAAATTCAAGGCTGACGCCGCACTGCCGATGCCAAAGGTTTCTGGAGCGGACACTGGCGATGTGAAGCTCCCGGACGGTTCACTGAAGACGACGTTCAAGCCGAAGGCTGGCTTCAAATGGCCAACTCTGATGCTACCGACTTTGGAAATGCCCGACTGGCAGTTCAGCTCTGGTGAGCGGTCGCCGAGCCCCGAAAGGAAGGAGAAAGGTGACAAAGATTTCCACTTTGGCATGAAAATGCCGTCGTTTGGTTTCGGAAAGGGAGTGAAGACGCCGAAACTCGATGGCATTGATAACCTGCTTGGCTATCTGCTTCCGGAGGGTGACCTACCGAAGCTGAGAATCCGTGACAACACCGAGGTGGAGGTCACTGACTTGCCCGAACTGAAAGGCAGAGATGTTGTCGTGAAGACGGAGATTCCTGATGTCGATCTTCCGAAGCTGTCTGCGAATCTGAAGACAGAAAAGATCACGCTTCCTGATGGCGAGATAAAGAACATGTTGAATCAGAAGTTCAGTGGCAGTGCCGAACTTCCACTACCGAAAGTGTCCGGAGCAGACATTGACAGCGTTAAGCTTCCGGATGGGTCAGTGAAGACATCGTTCAAGCCGAAGGCTGGGTTCAAGTGGCCTAAGATCACGCTGCCGTCACTCCACATGCCAGATTGGCAGTTTGGTTCGTCGGATCGGTCACCAAGCCCTGAGAGGAAAGAGAAAGGAGACAGTGACTTCCACTTTGGTATGAAAATGCCGTCGCTGGAGTTCGGCAAGGGAACAAAAACCCCGAAGCTGCACGGCATCGATGCGCTTCTGGCGTACTTCCTGCCTGAAGCAGACATTCCCAAGCTTCGCATCCGTGACAACACAGAGGTTGACGTGCTGGACCTTCCGGGAGGAAAGGGCAGAGAGGTCGTACTGAGGACCGAAGTACCTGATGCAGATCTCCCCAAAGTGCCAGCTGGCATTCAGGTTGACAAGGTCACACTTCCCAGTGGGAAGGTGGCCAACGTCCTGACGCAGAAATTCAAGGCTGACGCCGCACTGCCGATGCCAAAGGTTTCTGGAGCGGACACTGGCGATGTGAAGCTCCCGGACGGTTCACTGAAGACGACGTTCAAGCCGAAGGCTGGCTTCAAATGGCCAACTCTGATGCTACCGACTTTGGAAATGCCCGACTGGCAGTTCAGCTCTGGTGAGCGGTCGCCGAGCCCCGAGAGGAAGGAGAAAGGTGACAAAGATTTCCACTTTGGCATGAAAATGCCGTCGTTTGGTTTCGGAAAGGGAGTGAAGACGCCGAAACTCGATGGCATTGATAACCTGCTTGGCTATCTGCTTCCGGAGGGTGACCTACCGAAGCTGAGAATCCGTGACAACACCGAGGTGGAGGTCACTGACTTGCCCGAACTGAAAGGCAGAGATGTTGTTGTGAAGACCGAGATCCCTGATGTCGATCTTCCGAAGCTGTCTGCGGATCTGAAGACAGAAAAGATCACGCTTCCTGATGGCGAGATAAAGAACATGTTGAATCAGAAGTTCAGTGGCAGTGCCGAACTTCCACTACCGAAAGTGTCCGGAGCAGACATTGACAGCGTTAAGCTTCCGGATGGGTCAGTGAAGACATCGTTCAAGCCGAAGGCTGGGTTCAAGTGGCCTAAGATCACGCTGCCGTCACTCCACATGCCAGATTGGCAGTTTGGTTCGTCGGATCGGTCACCAAGCCCTGAGAGGAAAGAGAAAGGAGACAGTGACTTCCACTTTGGTATGAAAATGCCGTCGCTGGAGTTCGGCAAGGGAACAAAAACCCCGAAGCTGCACGGCATCGATGCGCTTCTGGCGTACTTCCTGCCTGAAGCAGACATTCCCAAGCTTCGCATCCGTGACAACACAGAGGTTGACGTGCTGGACCTTCCGGGAGGAAAGGGCAGAGAGGTCGTACTGAGGACCGAAGTACCTGATGCAGATCTCCCGAAAGTGCCAGCTGGCATTCAGGTTGACAAGGTCACACTTCCCAGTGGGAAGGTGGCCAACGTCCTGACGCAGAAATTCAAGGCTGACGCCGCACTGCCGATGCCAAAGGTTTCTGGAGCGGACACTGGCGATGTGAAGCTCCCGGACGGTTCACTGAAGACGACGTTCAAGCCGAAGGCTGGCTTCAAATGGCCAACTCTTATGCTACCGACTTTGGAAATGCCCGACTGGCAGTTCAGCTCTGGTGAGCGGTCGCCGAGCCCCGAGAGGAAGGAGAAAGGTGACAAAGATTTCCACTTTGGCATGAAAATGCCGTCGTTTGGTTTCGGAAAGGGAGTGAAGACGCCGAAACTCGATGGCATTGATAACCTGCTTGGCTATCTGCTTCCGGAGGGTGACCTACCGAAGCTGAGAATCCGTGACAACACCGAGGTGGAGGTCACTGACTTGCCCGAACTGAAAGGCAGAGATGTTGTTGTGAAGACCGAGATCCCTGATGTCGATCTTCCAAAGCTGTCTGCGAATCTGAAGACAGAAAAGATCACGCTTCCTGATGGCGAGATAAAGAACATGTTGAATCAGAAGTTCAGTGGCAGTGCCGAACTTCCACTACCGAAAGTGTCCGGAGCAGACATTGACAGCGTTAAGCTTCCGGATGGGTCAGTGAAGACATCGTTCAAGCCGAAGGCTGGGTTCAAGTGGCCTAAGATCACGCTGCCGTCACTCCACATGCCAGATTGGCAGTTTGGTTCGTCGGATCGGTCACCAAGCCCTGAGAGGAAAGAGAAAGGAGACAGTGACTTCCACTTTGGTATGAAAATGCCGTCGCTGGAGTTCGGCAAGGGAACAAAGACTCCGAAGCTGCACGGCATCGATGCGCTTCTGGCGTACTTCCTGCCTGAAGCAGACATTCCCAAGCTTCGCATCCGTGACAACACAGAGGTTGACGTGCTGGACCTTCCGGGAGGAAAGGGCAGAGAGGTCGTACTGAGGACCGAAGTACCAGATGCAGATCTCCCGAAAGTGCCAGCTGGCATTCAGGTTGACAAGGTCACACTTCCCAGTGGGAAGGTGGCCAACGTCCTGACGCAGAAATTCAAGGCTGACGCCGCACTGCCGATGCCAAAGGTTTCTGGAGCGGACACTGGCGATGTGAAGCTCCCGGACGGTTCACTGAAGACGACGTTCAAGCCGAAGGCTGGCTTCAAATGGCCAACTCTTATGCTACCGACTTTGGAAATGCCCGACTGGCAGTTCAGCTCTGGTGAGCGGTCGCCGAGCCCCGAGAGGAAGGAGAAAGGTGACAAAGATTTCCACTTTGGCATGAAAATGCCGTCGTTTGGTTTCGGAAAGGGAGTGAAGACGCCGAAACTCGATGGCATTGATAACCTTCTTGGCTATCTGCTTCCGGAGGGTGACCTACCGAAGCTGAGAATCCGTGACAACACCGAGGTGGAGGTCATTGACTTGCCTGAACTGAAAGGCAGAGACGTTGTCGTGATGACCGAGATCCCTGATGTCGATCTTCCAAAGCTGTCTGCGGATCTGAAGACAGAAAAGATCACGCTTCCTGATGGCGAGATAAAGAACATGTTGAATCAGAAGTTCAGTGGCAGTGCCGAACTTCCACTACCGAAAGTGTCCGGAGCAGACATTGACAGCGTTAAGCTTCCGGATGGGTCAGTGAAGACATCGTTCAAGCCGAAGGCTGGGTTCAAGTGGCCCAAGATCACGCTGCCTTCACTTCACATGCCAGATTGGCATTTCGGTGGTGATAGCGGATCTTATCGCCCTGAAGAGATGCAAAGGGAGGCGTTTTTGTCTTCCAGGCCTGTCGTGGATTCTGGCATTGATGGCATCGGCGACTTGGTGATGCGACTAATACCTCGGAACCAGCTGTCTTCCTTGGTGTTTACGGAGACATCAGAGGTTCACGTGGAAACTCCTCGTGCCGGAAGTGGAAGTCTCGTTGTAGTTTCGAATGTCTCTGACTTGAACGTGACTGATCTCCTTCCCAACGCTGAGATCGACACTGTCAGCTTGCCCGATGGTGGGGACGAACAAAGGCTGACGCAGCGTTTTGCTCTGGACCCAGGTGTCGAAATTCCCGACGTCGTTGGCGTAGATGTTGTTGAGTTTAAGCTGCCCAATGGCACAATTCGGAGAACTCTCAAGCCGCAGCGTGGGGTCAAATGGCCAGAAGTCCACATGCCTCTCGTCCGGTCCGCTGGACTGGAGGGCAAACTGCCAGAGGAGTTGGAATATTTGGAACGTGATGAGAAGGATTCTAGCTTCAAGTTTAAACTTCCGTCGTTTGGCTTGAAAAAGGGTGCAAAACCTCCGAAGGTCGATGGAGTGGACGGTTTGCTGGAGTACCTTCTGCCCAGGGAGGATCTTCCGAAGCTGCGGGTCAGAGATAACTCCGAGGTTGACGTTATCGACATTCCCGGTGCCGAGGCGCGTGAAGTGGAGGTCCGCACTGTCATTCCCGAGGCGGATTTGCCGAAGATTCCCTCCGACAGCAACGTCGTCAGGGTGAACATGCCTGATGGCAGTGTGAGGCATACCCTTTGCCAAAACTTCCCAGGAAACTCAGATCTTCCTCTGCCAAGGGTGAGTGGAGCTGACATCTCGGAAGTAACACTTCCCAACGGCAACATTAAGGCTACTTACAAACCCAAGCCGGGCTTCAAATGGCCCAAGATTTCGCTGCCAAGCTTCCAGCTACCCGACTGGGACTTTGGATCTGGAGACCGTTCGCCTAGTCCCGAACGCAAGGTTTCCAAATCCACTTCAAAGAAGTCGCACGTTGCTTTCAAAAAGCCCAAGTTCGACGGCATCTCCGACCTTTTCCTGAGCATTGTACCCAAGAGCAAGTTACCATCTATTCAGTTTAGGGATAACTCAACGATAGATGTCGAGGATCTGCCGTCCGGTAAGCGCCAGCTGGTTATCACCACAGAAATACCAGAGGCTGAAATTGCATCGCTTCCACCTGATGCTAAAGTTGAAGTTGACAAGCTACCCTCCGGAAAAACGCGCAAGGTATGGCGTCAATACTTTGATGTGGATCCAGACTTCCAACTCCCGGAGATCGATGGAACAGAAGTGGAAGAAGTCGCCTTACCGGATGGCACATCGAGGACAACGTACAAGCCTACCGGTGGATTCAAGTGGCCGGAGTTCCAGATGCCTAAGTTCCATTTGCCTGGCTGGGAGTTCAAGAAAAAGAGCTCTGAAACGTCCACCGTTCCAAAGCCCAAGCCGCTTCCACAGGCGTCCAAGAAGCCGATGAAAAAGCCACCCAATTTCCTGAACATCGACGGCGTCTTAGAATACCTAGTGCCGGACGACAAACTCTCCAAGCTACGGATCCGAGACACCACGGAGGTGGAGGTGATCGATTTGCCGCGAATGAAGGTGCGTGATGTCATCGTGCGAACTGAAGTACAGCGCTCAGATGTGTCGAAACTGCCAAGCGACGTGCCTGTGCTTGATATCACCCGTCCCTCGGGCCGCTGCGCCCAAGTGATCGAACAGCATGTGAAGGCGGACGCGGACCTTGTGCTGCCAACCTGCTCCAGCAGCAACACCACCGATGCGGCGCAGTCGGACGGCTCGGTGAAGACCATATACCAGCCCCGCAAGGGCACCAAGTGGCCCAAACTGAAGCTGCCGGCTCTGCAGGTACCCGACTGGGAGTTCCGCTCGTCAAAGGTGCGCTCGCGCTCGCCAAGCCCGGCCAGCGACGACGAAGGTCGTTTCTCTTTCTCGGGTCTGTTTTCCCGGTTCCTGCCGAGCTTCAGCAAGGACAAGGCGGAGATTGAGGTCGAGGATCATCCAGAACATGGTCAGCAGTTTGTCGTGAAGACGGAGGTGCCGGACGATGAGCTTGCGAACGTTCCTGAGGGCGCACAGATTGAGGTGGAGGCGCTGCCGGACGGCCGACAAAGACGTGTCTGGCGGCAGCCAGTCAACACCGAAATCCGTCTCGACTCGCCCGAGATCGAGCTCACAGAGGAGGTGATGCCGGACGGCCGCGTCCGTAAGACGGTGAAGCCGAAGGCTGGCTTCGAGTGGCCGTCGTTCTCGTTCGGCTTCGGTGGCAAGAAGAAGGAGGAGCCGGAGGCGCCTGCCAGCGTTCTGTCGGAGATGATCGCCGAATCGGACCTGCCTAAGGTCAAGTTCATGGATGGATCGGAGATTGAGATGGTCGAGCTGCCAGACGGCAAACGCCAGGCCGTAATTACCACCGAGATCAATGAATCAAACATCGACCAGCTTCCGGCCGGCGCCAAGGTCCAAGAAGAGACAATGCCCGATGGTCGGAAGCGCAGGGTTTGGTACCAGTACTTTGACGTGGAAGAAACGTACATCATGCCAAGATTCCAGACGGTTGAGATTATCGAAATCGTCTTACCAGATGGTAGTAAGAAGAGAAAGCTGAAGCCGAAGACTGGTGTCCAGTGGTCCGGTATTCCCAAAATGATCACGCGTAAATCAAGCGAGCAGAAGCTTGCCGCCGAGAAAGCGCCAAAGGTCTCCAAAATACCTATCCGAGAAGGCAAGTCTCCGAAACCTGAACCCTCGAAACGGAAGCCCAGCAAGTCCAAGGACGATGAAACGTCCGGCAAGCCGGGTGCCGCGATGACCAGCTTTATGTTGTCTATGGTGCATCCGGACGGCTTGGAGATGGTGCGTGACAGTGTCGTCGCGAAAGATAGGCCGGACGTCTCTCTGGACATTCAGGCCGGCAAGCACGCCGCGGCCGACCGTGGTCCCGAGTCGCCCTCTAAGAAGGCGCGAGCCGACATCTCGTCGGCCTTGGCGGAGGCGGCACCCGACAAAATGGGCCGCGATAAGGAGTCGCCCACCAAGATCCCAAAGATGGTGTCAAAGACCCCGTCGACCGAGCCTCCTATCAGAGTAAGGCCAGCCTCTAAGAAGTCGAAAAGTTCGCCGCCCCCCGAGTCGGGACCCGACATTTCTAAGATTTTGTCGACATCAGACATAGATCAGCTGTTGGCGCCGCTAGAAGACATTCCTAGTGATCCTAGCCAGGTGGAAACCGACCAAGACGCCGCCAAAAAGTCAAAGATTCCCAAGAAGAAGCCGACAGTTCCACCGCGAGGCGCGCCCAAGCCGGCCCCGCGAACGCCAGCCGTCGTCGCCTAAAGCGCTGGATATCCCGCCTGCGGGCGACATCCACTTGCACCAGGTGGTAGAGCGCACCGTCTGCGAGTCTGACGACGATCTGGACGAACCTGAACCGTTCTCGGTTCCGGCTGGAGCCGATGTGGAGATCCAGGAGCAGCCGGACGGCAGCGTGCGCCGCATCTACAAACGGACGGTGGTGTCGTCGGCTGTTGACGTGCCGTCCATGCACCTACGCTTCCCCGACTACACTGTCCAGGAGGAGAAGATGCCGGATGGGTCTGTACGTCGGATTGTACGTCGTGTGATCACCACAGAGGACTATGGTGCGCTACCAGAGGGAGGTCAGGTGGAGGAGGAGCGGCAGCCGGACGGCACGCTGCAGAAGGTGTGGAAGCAGGTGCTGACGCCTGGCCACCCAGACTACGACATTCCTGAAGATGAGGGCACTGAGATCCGTGAGGAGACGTTGCCAGACGGCAGTCTGGTGCGCAGGGTCAGTCGGAGGAGGGTGGTTCGGCCGGCGGTCGGTGCTGATGTTGACGTTCCGGAGGGAGCCGAGGTCAGCGAGGAAACCCTGCCTGACGGATCCGTGGTGAGACGCATCATCCGCAGGCGTGTCATCACCTCCGACATGCCCGATATCGAGGTACCAGAAGGTGCCGACGTGCAGGAGGAGACTTTGCCTGACGGCACGGTGGTGCGTAGAATCACTCGACGCCGAGTGGTGGTGTCCGAACAGCCAGATTTTGAGGTTCCGGAAGGCGCAGAAGTTTCTGAAGAAGTGCAGCCGGATGGTTCTGTTATCCGAAGAATTATCCGGCGGCGAATCGTCACCACATCTACCGAGGAGCCCGAAATAGACGTGCCTGAAGGCGCGGAAGTTTCTGAGGAAGTCCAACCGGATGGCTCCATTATCCGGAGAATCATCAGAAGGCGAATCGTAACCACCACCGCTGAAGAGCCCGAGTTTGAGTTTGAGGTGCCCGAGGGCGCCGAGGTGTCCGAGGAAGTCCAGCCCGATGGCTCTGTGATACGTAGGGTTATTCGTCGCCGCATGGTGACGTTGGATCCAGACCAGGAGCTGCCGGAAGGCGCAGAGGTGTCAGAGGAAACTCTGCCCGACGGAACGATTCGCCGCATTATTCGCCGCACGGTGGTGACGTCATCAATCCCGGAGGCGGATGTGCCGGAGGGCGCCGAGTTCTCGGAGGAGACCCTGCCCGACGGCACAGTGCGGCGCATTACGCGACGCCTTATCGAGGTACCGGCCGATGCCGAGGTAGAAGACCAGGAGACGCCCGAGGGACGCGTGCGGCGCGTCATCCACAGGCGCATCATCACCACTTCCGAAGCGCCGGAGATCATCGAGGGTCCGGAGGGCGCCGAAGTTGAGGAGGAGACACTTCCGGACGGCTCGGTACGACGCATCGTCCGCCGACGCGTGGTTACCACTGAGGCGGCGCCAGAGGACGTTCCCGAGAGCACGGAGGTGGTCACCGAGACTTTGCCGGACGGCACCGTCCAGAAGACGGTGCGACGCCGCATCGTACGGACAGTAGAGATGGCGCCCGAGACGTTGGAGCGGTACATCACGACGCATGAGGGCGAGCCCAGCGGCCAGTCCGAGCACACCTCGCCCGGGGGCACACGCCGGCTGATCCGCCGCGTGGTCCAGATGCCCACGATTGATCTGGGCACGCAAGTGGTGGAAGGCGAGCCGGTGCCTCATGCGTCCGCCGAAGCCGACCTGCCCGAGGGTGCCGAGGTGCACGAGGAGACCTTGCCGGACGGTACTATCCGTAGGATCATCCGGCGCCGGATCATCCGTAACGTGTCAGACATCGACCTGGACAACTTGCCCGAGGGCTGCACGGTCGAGGAGCAAACGCTACCCGACGGCTCCACCGTCAAGGTGGTGCGGCGGCGGACCGTGCGCACTGTGATGACCTCGGACGTCAGCAGTGTGCCCCAGGGCCTTGAGGTGGAGGAGCAGACACTGCCCGACGGTCGGTTGAAGCGTACAATCCGGCAGCCGTACGACGGCGTGGGCCCTGTGCCGGCCGGCGCCGAGGTGCTGGACGAACCAGACGCCGGCGCCGGCCAGACGCGCCGCTACCTCCAGTGGCAGGTGTTCGGCGACGACGTGCCTGAGTCGCTGCGCGGCCTCCTCGACTTGCCCGCTGTCGGCGGCGACGCCTGGCGGCTGGAACCCGGCGACGAGCTACGCTCCCCGTCCGACATTCCCGAGCACGTGGAGACGGAGGTGCTGCCGGACGGCACGGTCCGCCGCGTAGTGCGCCGCTCCACTGTGCTCACCACCCAGTTCCTGACTCCCGAGATAGGCCAGCTGGCGGCGGCCGAGCCCGAGCTGGAGGAAGTGGTGCAGCCGGACGGCAGTGTGCGCCGCGTGCTGCGCCGCACGCTCGTGCGTCAGGTGGCGCCGGCCACCGAGAGCTCGCCCACAGTGCGGACGGCCGACGCCGCAGGTACTTGGCGGCAGCAGCGTGCCCCGTTCAGCTTGCCTGACTGACTGAGCGGCGCTGACGCCTAGGTGCTCGGCGGTCCCGGTTGCTGAGGACTAACCAGTGACCGGTAGACGGACTGCGCGGTGCCAGCATTCGGAATGGGCTTGTCGCACGGCCGGCGCGCGTGTCACTCCGTTCTGGCACGCGCCACACTGGGTGTGGGCAGCCGGCGTCTGTTTCTCTCTCTCTCCACTAACCGGACCCGGCCTGTATAGGCTGGGACCTGCTTCGGCCCCACCCGGGGCGCGTCACCAGGCGAATGGCTTTCTCGCTTCTCGGTCTGTCGTCTGGAGTGACGGAGTTTCATCGCTGACCCACGGGCCTGTGGCGTCGACTGATCCCGACACTGCCCGCTCCAGCCAAGGCCGCGTTAATGGATCAGTGGCGAGGTAGCCATGTAGCTTTCGCCTGATGATCATGTGCGGCACGCACAGTGGTGGGCAGAAGCGATGAAGCTCCGTCCTCGGCGATAGCGACAGCAACGTGACAAACTGCATTGGCATGCGAACGGACGTGGAAGCCCTGGGGCGGTGGGCTGTTTTTCACAGGTGGCTGGTCGCCCTCTCACGCTAACGACGACCTCATTACAGAGCTCGCAGCGCTGTTCGTGTACAGTGGCGTGTGGTGTGAGTGAGAATATGGAGTGGATGGGATGAGTGACTCCTTAGTCCTTCTCCTTTATGCTGAATCCTCACTTTCCGCACAAACATGATGTGACATTATTTTCAGCTCCCATTTTAAATATTGACGCGTGTGCCGGGGGATATAGGCGATACGAATGAAGGTTCTGTAGAAGCGCACATGATTTGACTACCATGGTTAAACATCTAACCCGTATTTGTGTACTAACTTTATAGATATCGGGAGCCCGAGAGCGGTTCCTTATGATCCTACAATCCCCTACGCATGTCCTGTAACGGACTCTAGACACGTAACGACATCACAGACTGTTGTAACGACATCCGGTGCTGAAACGGCGTCGGAGACCCGTGTGTCACGCGACATCGACTATCGGACGGAAACGTGCTCCGTTCAGGAGACGGTCGAGAGCTATTCGGACCGGCGAAGCTTCTGGGAGGACGTCAGTCGGCGCTCGCAGGACGAGCCGAAGCCGCTCCGCCGCTCGTTTGAGGAGCCGAGGGAGGCGCGCCACCGCCGCAGCTCCGACAGCAAAGAGGACGATGACGCCGAGCCGCGCTCCAGTTCGTCGTCGGGGGGCGGCGACGACAGCGGCGGCGGCGGCGGAGGCCTCGTCAACGTCGCCTTCCTCGGTGAGCGAGAGGTCGACCGGATTGAGGAGAACCTGGCGCGCGCACCCAGCCCGTACGAGGTGCGCCGGGACGAGGACGAGGACGCGTCGGCTGCCGACGTGGCCACCAAGCGCCACATGTTCGAGCGGGAAATCGAGCGCGAGACGGAGGCGGCGCGGCGGCCGCTCTTACCGCGTCGCAGTGTGGAGAGGCCGGCAGCGGGCGAGGGGTCCGTGGAGCGGGGAGAGGAAGCCAGGGGTGAGGATGAGGAAGCCCAGGGTGCGGCCAGCGACATGGAGGAGGCTGCGCACGCCATCGTGGAGAAGCGCATGCGGACGGATATCGTGATCGAAGAGATGGGCCAGAGCTTGGAGACGCAGAGTCCAGAGAGGAAGCGTCTGTTGACGCCCGAGGAGGAGATGGCTCGACGTGAGGAAGCCGGCGGGGAAATTGCCGCCTCGCCCGAGGCAGAGCCGGTGGAAGAGGATGACGTCGAGCTGTACGAAGGCAAGGAGTTCTGCACGGAGGAGTATTCCGAGGCGGAATGTGCCGCAGAAGAGGAGGCTGAGCGCCAGCTGTTGGCTGGGCACATTGCGGAGGTGATGAGCGGCGATGCTCAGCGCCTGAGGGAGGCGGAGGAAGAAACCCGTTCCGAGACGCAGGCGAACATCCTGGACGAGTTTGAAACCAGATCGTTTGTATCCGACACGCAGAATGATATACTGGACGTGGTGGAGGAGGCGGCGGGCGATGTGGTGCCTTCCGACAACGAGTCCGAGCCCCGTGCCCCCGGTCTGGGTCCAAGAGACGCTCCCGACCACTCGCGCGAGCACAGCGTCTCAGAGACAGAGCACAAGTACATATGCGAGCATCTAGATCGCATCGACGACGTGGACGAAGCGGCTGAGGTAGAAGCGGCCACCAGCCCTTTGGCCGATGCCGATCTGCGGGGCGCGCACTTGGAGGCGCTAAGCAGCCCGCCGCTAGAGCCGTGCACGGACGAGCCCTCGTCCAGCGCTGACGATTCGTCGCGCCAGCTGGCCGAGGAGCCGGCGGCCGGCGAGCTGCCTGCCCGACCCGCGCTCGAGCTGCTGCAGCCGGCGGCGCCCGAGCTCGATTACGTGTCACCATCGGAGCCGACACAATCGCTGCCGCAAGCGTACCGGCTGCAGAACGACGCTCCGCCGCCGCTGACGACAGACACAGCTGACGAGCACGCGGTGCCGCTCACGCCCGAGGCGGTACCGCAAGAGCAGCGGCCGGCGGCGCCCACGCCGTTCGCTGCGTACAGCTACAAACCGCCGACGGAGCCGGAGCACCTCGAACACGAGTTGGAGCACTACGAGCCGACACCGACCGGTGTGGACGAGGACGGCGAGCGCCGGCGCGCGCCGGACGAGAGCGACGGCCGCTCTCTGGACATGACCGTGCGCGTGCGGCCGCTGGATGCGCTATCGCCGGAGCGGCCGGCGCTCCTGCTGGAGCCGTCGGCGCCCATGACCGGCGCGCTCGCCTCGCCGATTCACGTGTCGACCGAGGCGCTGGCGCAGCCGGTGTGGGAAACGGCGCTGGACCACGCTGAACTGCAGGACACTGAGGTGGCGCACGACATCCCGATCGGGCGGCAGACAGTGCTCGAGCGTGAGGAGGAGACCACCTCCAGTAGCGTCGGAGACTCGAGCGTGCGCGAGCGACCGCCCGACGAGGCGGAGTGGCACGCCAACGGCGTGGCGCCGCCGCCCGCCGCCATGAGGCCGTCCATGTCGTTCGAGGACGCCCAGCGGCTGGCTGTGGAGATCGTGACGGACATCAAGACGCGCATCACCGAGCACCCCGAGCTGTTGACGGGCGAGCAGATGGTGACGGGCACCACCACGGTGGTGGAGGCGCCGCGCTACGAGGCGGCCGGCGAGCCGGACGGCCGACTGCAGGACTCTGTGTCATCGGACCGCGCCACCACGGAGTCGTCCGAGCTATCGCGCCTCTCGGATAGCGTGCGCGATGAGCCGGAGCCGGAGCCGGAGCCGGAGCCGGAGCCGGAGCCCGAGGTGAGTCCAGCGGGCGAGGGCGCCGCCGCGCCTCCGCCCGCTGAAGAGCCGGAGGAGCGCACGACGTCCCCACTGCCGCGGCCGGCCGCCGGGTCGGTTTTCACCTCTGAGACACCGTCCAAAGTGGACGCGTATCTGCGCCAGTTGCCGGAGGAAGCCGGCGACGGCGACCAGCATCGCACATTGGTGCAGCAGGTGGCCGAGCGTAAGGCGGCACACCTGTCGCGGCCACGCCACATCAACCTCGAGAGTCTGGAGATCACCGACGAGGACTTGCGCGAGAGCGGCAACGACCTCTCGCCACTGGAGAGTCACATGGAGCGGCTGCGTCAGATGTCGGTGGTGGCGCTGGACGAGCGCGAGATACAGCTACTGCGCGAGGGCGATGCGGCCGAGCAGAGCTCGCCGTCCGAGCAGGCGTGCAAGGAGCCCATCTCGCGCTCCAGTGACGAGATCGAGGAGCGGTCCTCGCGCTCGGACGAGCCCTCTCGCTCGGAGCGCCTTCAGAGCGGCCAGATGCTCGAAGAACAGCCAGCAGCTCCGGAGCCGGGCTGGGACGTGTGTCGCGTGACGGAGCGGGTCTCCGCAGCGGGTGCCGTCACGGAGCAACGCGAGCGCATAGTGAGCAGCGACGACTTCCAGCAGGGCGTGTCAGGCGAGAGGACCATCTTCACCACCACCGTGGTACGGCAGGGTAAGACAGAGGCCGTGGACAGTGACGTGCCGGGCATGCAACAGCAGCAGTACGTGGAGCAGGTGGAGATCGAGACGCAGACCGACAGGAGGCGTTCTCATGAAGCGACAGACTCTGATGCTGAAACCAAGCCTGTTGGCGAGGGCACAGAGGAAGGGCTGGCTGCTGTCGGTCGTGGACTGCAGTCTGAGGATTCCCTTGAGGCCGCCCACAGGACATCGGCGGAAGTGTCGGAAAGTATCAAATCGTCGTCGCGCTCGATGGTGTCTGAGTTCACTTCGGTTAAGTCTGTCGAAGAGAAGTCTGAGGCACATTCCCGCTCGTCGGAGGAGGCGTCAGACATTCTGATCAGGTCATCCGGCGAGACGTTCGAGGCCGTCGAGAAAGGAGCGGTTGAGTCGGCCGAGAAGGTGCGCACCTCGCTGACGCGGTCGTCGGAGGAGAGCTTCACCAAATCGACGGATGAGCGGTCCGAGCTGCAGAGTCGCTCGTCGGGCGAGGTGTCCGAGGCCATCACGCGCTCGACCGAGGAGACCTTCGAGGCGGCCGTCAAGGCGACGGACGAGGCCACCGAGAAACTCATCCGGACGGCCGGCCTGCTGTCGCGAGAGTCGCGGCTCGCCGAGCACAAGTCAGAGACGTGCACACGCTCCTCCGATGAAACGTCTGAGGCCATCTCCAGGTCGACCGAGGAGACCTGCGACGGCTCGCTGAAGACGTCGGGGAAGTCCGAGAGAGTTCTCAAAACATCCGCTGACGTGTCGGAGGCTTTCGCAAGATCTTTGGAGGAGATATCAGAGACATTGGACAGATCCACAGAGGAAACATTTGACGTTTCTGTCGGCTCGTCCGATAGCAAATTGGAGAAGGTGTTCAAAAAGACTGCCGAAGTATCTGAAGTGACCACACGATCGCGTGGGGAAAAATTCGAAACACTGAGCAGGTCCACCCAAGAATCGGTGGTCGAATCATCCGATGCCAGGTCCCAGAGCATGACAGCGAAATCTGCTGAGTTTTCCGAAGTCACGGCCAAGTCGGAGGAGGAAGCCCGCCAGGCTCCGAGTACGTCATCTGAAGAGACGGCCGACGCCGGTGTCCGCCTCGGCGCCGACTCCGCCGACGGCCCGGCTGGCGTCGCGGCGCGCGGCGTGTGCGCCGAGCACAGCATGTCCCGCTCGTCCGAGTCGCGCACCGAGTCGTCTCTGGTCTCCAGCTACGAGTCGGTGGCGACAGTGCTGCCGCGCGAACGATCGCCGTCCCCTGCGGCGGCGCCCGCCGCTGGGCAGCGCAGCTTCGAGGAGGAGCCCACGCCGCGGGCAGGCGCTTACCAGTCGGGCGTAGGTGATGCGGCAGCGGTCAGCGACCCGCGCTGACAGCGAGATACGCCGCTCCACAGCCGACGTGGAGTCGACGAGCTCCGGCGAGGGCCGCGGCTATCAGACGGCCGCCGAGGTGTTCTCAGACAGCAGCCGCACGGCGTCGCGGCCGACCAGCTGCGAGGCCGAGCTGCTGGGCGCGCTGACCGGCACGCCGTCCGAGTACGAGACGGCCCAGTCGGCCGCCACCACCGGCTCGCTCGAGTACTACACGGCCAAGACGTCGCTCAGCTCGCACGGCTCGATGCGTTCAATGGATTCATCGGAGAGCAGCGGCCACCTGGCCAGCGTCGAGGCGAGCGAGCCGTCCGAGACCCTGATGACGTCGGCCGTCGAGCTGGACCGCGAGGCCACGCCCACCGGCCAGCTGGCCGAGGAGGAGGCTAAGCCGGAGCCCATCCCTGAACAGGACGAGTCGAGTGATGAGTCGACGCCTGATGAGCCGGACGAGCCGGACGAGCCGCGCGCCGAGGCTGACCAGGTGGAGGGCGACGACCTGTTCGTTGAGCCCAACATGAAGCGCTCGGCCGAGATGGTGTTCAGCCAGGCAGGCGAGGCGCCGCCGGGCGTGATCGAAGGCCGCGTTCTCGGCGACAAGGAGCGGTATAACGAGCACGCCGTGTCGCCCGAGCCGGACACGACCGGCCGCGGTGGCGGTGGCGGCGACGACGACGCCGAGCCCACCAAGCTGATGGAGGAGTCGCTCGACAGCGCGTCCGAGACGAGCCGCCTGCTCGCCGAGCAGCCGTCGGCCACCGAGTCGCAGCGTGTGACACGCGAGAACTGGCGCACCGAGTCCGAGCGCATGGACACGTCGAGCGCTTCGGAGCAGCTGAGCACGATGACGGGCTCGCAGATGTCTGAGAGCTGTCTGTCCGAGACGCTGCACCTGGAGGAGACGCTCCTGGCCGGCGCTCCGCCTCTGCACGAGCGCCTGCTGGAGCTGGACGACACCGGCTCACAGCTGTCCGAGAGTGACGCTGAGGAGCCGGCGGACGCGGCGCGGGCGGCGGCTGCGGTGGCGCCCGCCACCTGCCGCGTGCTGCGCCGCGCCCTCTCGGAGTCGGCGACGAGCAGCGCCGCTGGCGAACGACTGCGTGCGCAGCTGCTGCAGAAGGGCCTGTCAGAGGAGCGCGCCGAGTGGGAGATTCAGCAGATTATGACGCAGCCGTCCGACCCGAGCCTGGCGCCGGCGCTGGAACGGCCGGACAGTCCGGAGCCGATGGCCGACTACCCGGCCAGCCGGCTGTCGTTGGAGACGCCCGTCACGCCCGTCACGCCTGTCACGCCCGTCACGCCCGACCTCTCGGCCGCCAGCCCGCAGCCGGCCGCGCCCACCATCTCGATCACGGAGCCGGCCGACGGCGGGGTCGAGCCGCGGCCGGCGCCCGGCTCGCCGCCGTCCGACAAGTCGCCAGCCTCGTCCGACCGCTCGTCGTCGTCCGAGGAGGGCCGCGAGTACGTGTTCGACGACCCCGAGTACGCGCAGCCGGCGCGGCTGCACGAGACTATCCCGGAGGAAGAGGAGAGCGAGAGCAACGGCGAGGCCGCCTCGGCACGCCAGCCGTCGCCCGACGAGTTCATCCTGGTGGAGGGGGGCGGCCGGCTGGAGTCGATCGTGTCGCCGCCGCCGACCGTGACGCCGCTGTCGCGCGTGCGCTACTACCCCGAAGAGGTGCAGAAGATCACCGATGACACCCTCTCGCCGTCAGCCGACATCGACGTCAGTGAGCAGACGCGCTGGGCCGAGCGGCAATTCGACGCTGGCGCCGCCGCCACCGGCGGCGGCGGCAGCCAGCCGCGCGACGATCTGTTCGCCAAACAGCTGGAGGATATCATCGAGGAGGAGCGCGAGGAGGCGCTCAGCAATCGCGACCTGGAGCGGCTTAAGGAGTCGCTGAGCTCGACGCCGGAGCTGGAATTGGCGGCGCGCGGGCGGCTGGTGTCGCGCAGCGGCGAGAGTGATGACGTCTCGCTCAGCTCGCTGCAGGAATTCGAGCGGCTCGAGTTGCTGATGGCGCAGCGCGGCTCACAGGACTCGCTCGGCTCGCTCAATAACAACAACAGCGGCGGGCCGCGGCGCAATGGGTCTTCGGGTGCCGCCAGCGTCCAGGGCGACGACGTGTCGGTGGCGTCGCTGCAGGAGTTCGAGGGGCTGGAGCGCCAGTGCCAGCTGGCGGAGCAGATCGAGACACGCGCCGAGCAGGCAGCGCGACTGCTGGCGCAGATTGAGGAGGGCCACGAGAGCCAGATGTCTGAGAGCGACAGCTGCGAGACGGTGTCGCAGGCGTCCGAGCGGCCGCCGCACGGCGATGAGCAGCTGTTCGAGATCGACCAGATCATCCGCGAGGCGCAGGGCAACGTGGAACGGCTGCATGCCGACGATGAGCTCCTGTCCGACAGCCTGCGCCTCGAAGACATAGTCGACATGACAGAGTCAAGCCTGGTAACGGACACGCCGCCAGGCGAACCGGAGGATGACTCGCTGCAGGGCGAGCCGCCACCGGCCGTCGACTCACCGCAGCGCCGCCGCCTGCTGCGCGAGGCGGGCCGGGCCGGCAGCACCGACTCGCTCGAGCCGCGGCCGCCGCGGCCCGGCGCCATCTCGGCTGACTCAATCGAGGAGACGCAGAAGACGGACTCTGCGAGACAGGGGCGTCAGGCGACGGACTCGACTGAACAGGGGCTTCAGATGACCGACTCATTGGAGCGTGAGATTGCTGACTCGACCGAGCAGGAGCGTCAGATGACGGCCTCGATCGAGCAGGAGCAGCGTATGACCGACTCGATCGAACAGGAGCGTCAGATGACCGACTCGATCGAGCAGGAGCGTCAAATGACCGACTCAATCGAGCAAGAGCGTCAGATGACTGACTCGCTGGAGCTGGCGCGCGAGTCGCTGGAGCCAGCCGGCGCGGCGGCGGCCGACTCCCACAGCGGCTCCGCTCCGGCGCGTGACGCTCTGCTCTGCTCGTTCGACTCGGTCTCCAGCTCGCAGGCCACGCACGCCACCTACCAGTACGAGTCGGACTCGCTCATGTCGTCCAGCCTGGCGTCCACCCTGTCGGCGACCCTGGCCGGCTCCTCCGAGACTCTCGGGCCGGAGGAGGAGGCCGAGCCTGGCGGCGCGACGGCCGCCTGGCAGCCGCGCGAGGCGGCCGCCGACGACGTGACGGACGCCGCCGACAGCATGCACGCGCGGCGCGCGGTGCGGCGCCGCGTGCTGCTGGAGACGGCCGGCGACGAGGCGGACGTGGCCGAGTCGCGGCAGACGGTGACGCTGACGCAGACCGGACGACAGCCACCAGGTGGCGGGACGGTCCTCTCCCCCGCTGCCTCGCGGCCGCAGCCCGCGCCGCGCACCACTCGCCGCGACAGGCCGGACGGGAGCGGGGGCACGCGCTGTGGGACAGGTATAGGGCCGACCGAAAGGCGTCTCAGTGTTGTCTATCACCAGCCTGCACCGTTATCGCTTGGTTGCCGCTAGGCCCTGAGTTCTCGAGTCGCTTTAGGTGTGGTGTGCGCGGGTGGAGCCGCCGGCCGTACCGCTCCCCCCTGCTCGTGACATACGGTCAGAGGCGGCGGCTCGTTGCCGCCGGCCTGCCCCCTGCTGGGGCGCTCGCTCCAGCTCGCCTGCTCCGCCCGGAGCTTTAGGTCGGCGTACTGTTCACGTAGTGCCAAGTTTCGGTTCTGTTCTGCACTGGAACGCTGCATTTCGTCCGACCAGCGGTTTCCAAACCCGGTTCGGGACTCGCGGAAACGGCTAACCTCAGGCCTTTCAAAGCCGCCAGTTTGGGAACCGCTGAAAGCGGCCTTGTATTGTTTTCGCAACCAGAAGTTCTCTATGCAAGGCATGAGTGAAATTCGATCGGCATCTGATTTAGTCGCCGATTGCATGCGAAACTTTCGATCTTTTATTGTCGGTGCCTTGGCGCCACTCCCGTAGCCCAATGCTTGGGCTGTGATTGATGTTCGTCCATCTCTGCTGGCTCAATGTTACATGTTACTTTTGAACTAGACCCCGAGTGATTTTCATGCAATGTTCGACGCGCTATTCCACGTTGCGTTCGGACGCAATGTGGCCCATGCCGGAGCTGCGCCGGGTCCGACCTTCACCTAGCACTCCCATCCCCATTTTATACTAACAGCTGGATGTCTAATACTAAGGCGTGAGGTTTGTTTTTAGTTGCTTGCTGCTAGGACACCAATTGTAGACCCCATCGTGGGCGGTCCCGAAATTGCACGCACCGCTAATCCACTAACCGGCGTTTTTCTTTTCTTTCTGCTTCTTTTAGCGGAGGCACAGCAGGGGTCAGAGCGAGGTGAGAAAGAGGGAGACAGAGAGGGCAGAGAGAGCACAGGAGAGAGACGCGGGCAGAGCACGGCGGGCTGCCGGCGTCGTCACGTGACCAGGCTGGCGCGCGTCAGCTGCCGCTCCTACGTCACGTCCAGATCCTCCCGGTGACAGAGCCCCTGCCGAGCCTGGCGCGCGGCGCGGCTCCAGAGGGTCCAGCCCCCCGGGTGGTGGCGGCCCAGGTATGCCAGGTCGCGCGCACACGGTCACACAGACGCGTCGCGGCACACAGCAAGGCCCCTCACGGTATGGCCGCCTGCCATGCATTCTAGTAGTCACGGATTGCCTAACGGTAGATTAAGTGAACAGCTCTATGAACCACCCTGGTCGCTGATAAGGCTCAGCTGTTATCAGTGTCCGCGATTTCATACCGACGACAGAATGGTCGGGTTGGACCTTTACATTACAAAAAGTGCAGCGCGTGCTCCACATATGCGGCCGTTCGCAAGTCTTGAGCTCTTGCAGCCTTTTATTAGTATCTGGTCCGGCGCCATGACGTACGACGCGGTAGACTTTGGCATTGCAGTAGCTATGCCAGGCCACCCGAGTGTGAAGCCTGTTCTTGCTCGATAAGTACAGTTTCCCTCACAGTCACAGTTACAGTCACAGTCGTGTTTTACGCCCAAATCTGACTGCCTTTACCAAATCACTCCATGCGGTATGTGCGCCGATGCAGCTGTTCCCATAGTATTTAGGTCGTACCTGGAGCAATTTAGCACCATGCTCATGCGGCGATCCATGACAATACTAGTGTGAAGGGGTTCACCTTCTGACAACTGCGTTCCAACATGCTAAATGTGGACCTGTCGAGGATCAGAACATCCACTGCAGGCTTCAGACAGACACTCTATTTGGCTCCCTTCCGGCGGAAGAAGGGCGCATTTCGCGACATTGGACACATTTCCGCGACGCAGCACATAACACCGACGATTCGCGCTGGACGTCGGCCACGCGGAGCGGCGGACGCACCCCCCACTCGCTGCCGCGGCCGAGCCGGGCCGCTCACTGCGGTCGCGGCCGCGCCGTCAGCCGTAGCTTGCCGCGTCCGGGCGCGTACCGATAGTGGCCGGGCCGGCTCGATAGTGGCCTGGCGCTGAGGCCTTATGCCGTCCTCCGCGCCGCGTGCCGTAGCCGTGGGCTCCGGTCAGACGCGCTTCTGCAGACCCACGTATCATTTCACTGCGGATAGTCTCACAGTCATCGTCATAATGTTCCATCGCGATATACATCCCACGCACACTGCGCTACAGGGCGGTTTGCTTAGTACCGCCATAACTTTAGCGCTACTGGCGCGCAGCACTGTAATACGCCCGCTGGCCCCGCCCTGCCCTGTCCTCCCTCGCCCGTGACGACCAATGGAGGTGAGCGCTGGTCACGTGACGACCGACGCAGCCCCGTCAGCTGATTGCGCCGCTGCCGCCGCCGCCGCCGCCAGCCGTGTATCGATCTGGCCTCCCGGCAACGGCCGGCTGTGATAATTTATTATATCACGTGACACGATCAACCATCGAATGCGTCCGCTGTTGGGCCTTGCCCCGGGCCGTAACCAGCATGCACGCTGCCGTTTGCACTGTGTTATCAGCCGTTGGTGCATGCGTATACGTCGCGTTTTCTTCACGAGGAGTTTTGCTGCACTGGCGGCAGAACGCCGCGCAAGTTGTACCTAGCGGACCAGCTGAGCGCGGTTTGAACCTTGGCGGGGTGCCGGACAGCGTCGTTCGTAGTCGGGGACGGGGTTATGATGTCCACCCAGCCGGACGACGGAGGTCGGGCGGGCGTCGGTAGATGGCGCGCCGCAGCCGGCGGCGGCGGTGTCGTCTGCGCCGCTCTGCCGGCCGGGCCTCTCACGCCGCCGGCTCGGTGTGCTCCGGGCGGGCCACAGGCGGGTGGTGGGCCGGTGACCTGGACCGCCGGCGGACCGACGCTCGCTCGCTCAGAGGGCCAGCGATGCCGTCAGCTGGCCGCGGTCGGGGAGACGGTGGGGATTAGCCGAACTTGAGCCACTTCCCGGCCCCCGCCGCCCGCCGCCCTCCCCGGAGAGTTGAGTCTTGTGCGCATGCGTGGGACCACGGGTCTTCGGTTTGGAGGCGCACAAGCCTGGGAATCTACACTTGGACAAATGGGTCGAGTCTTTTCGGGATCTGAAATTTGTAGCAAATCCCAGCCACGCGCCCAGTGTGCCTTGCGCCCAATGGTAAACCTTGGTTATCAGAGAACTCCCTGCGAGAATCGGGGATATCCATCGAGATCTCCTTTGGGGATGGGCTCCGGAGGCGGAGAACCCGGTCGGCGCACTGATTGCTGCTACAGGCGGCGCACAGTGCGCCATAAGGGCAGCTGACCGCATGGCCACTGGGTGGGCGCGGGTGGCGGCCGCTGGCCGGTACCCGGTCCCCCGCCGTGCGGCTGGTATCGTCGTTTCTCACACGGCGACCATAGACCTCTGCCAGGGGATTTGAGAATACAGCTGTCAAGAGTAGAGAGTGTCCAGACTAGGCCTCAAGAGAGCTGAGATGGGCAGCAACTTTGTGTCGTTCGCGACGAATGGCGTCACATTTGGCTCCTACCGCGGATGACACGATCGCCCACCCTTTCCGGTTCCTCGCTGCTGTGTCTGACCTGACCTGGTGCCTGCCCAGATGTGACCCAGCATGTGACCTCGGCCCAGCCCCTGACCTCGGTGCTGTGGCTGGGACGCTCGTGCTCGGATGATTGGCACCCTGTGCTGTGTCGCCTGTCCGTGCGCTGCCGGCCGGTACGCCGCTCCGCGGTCCGCCGGCACCGGCGCTCCACCGTATCGCCGGACCGCCGCCCTGGGGTGACCTGACCTGACCTGGCCGGGCCGGCCCGCCCCACCCCGCTGAGCTCCGTTCCGCCCGCCGCCGCTGCTCTGTCCCACCCGGCTCCACTCCCCGTCCGCATGCTTTAGCGGCGGCATTTCAACTGATGCTCTCTCCCGACAGGTGTCGCCACAGGTCTGACTCTGGTGGCTGTCCTGCGTGCATGCCTGCTGGCAGTGTTAGCCGCCGGTCTAGCATTTGTGCTAAGCAATGCTGCGTTGCATGATACATTTCCAGTGGCGAGCGCCGACGGTAAAGCGGTCACCGCGTTTTCTGTTTCCCAGGGCTCTGGTGTCTGGACGTGTTTGGTAGCGTAGGGGAGCCGGGTGGGGGTGATGGTGGTGGCGGGATGTGGACGGTGCCAGGGGAACACCTCGAACCTGTATGTCTCCCGGCCAGCGTGCGGCGACAGTGTTTGGTCTCGTGTTTCAGTCCGCCGGCCTGCCGCGCCGCCTGCCGGCCGGGCACCGCTCCCCTCCAGAATCCCGCGCCCCGTGCCGGCCCGGCCGACTGCCGCCGATACTGGGCCGTATCGGCCGGCGTGTCGGCCCCGCCCCCCACCCCCCTCTCGGCTGCGGCCGCCGCGGCCCGTCAGCTACGCGCGCCGCTCTGTTTCGCCGCCACACCGCCAGGTGGCAGGCCGGCCGCCGCTTGGCGGCTGGCCGGCCGCCGCGGTCAGTAGGGAGATGTGCCGTGGCGCAGGCCAGCCTGGTCCGACGGACCGGGCTCGGCCCGGGCTCTATCTCTCTCTGTCTGTCTGTCTCCCCCCCCCCTCCCCTCTGCCGCGGTCCGGCCACGGCTCGGGCGCCCCCCCCCCGCGCCGACGGCGGCGGGCTGGCCGCTTCCTCAGGCCCTTTTCCTCGTGTGATCGGGATCGTAGACGTGTGACGTGGACGTGTGAGGCGTGGGTGCGTGTGATGAGCCGGGGGCGTGTCGGTGGGGTGACGCGTGATGGCGTGTGGGACGAGCTCCGACGCATGCCGCATGCAGCGCTGCTGGCGCTCACTCACAAACTCTTCCGCTTGGCTGCGAGTGGTAACTCTGCCGGCGCGTCGCCGTGGCAGCGCCACGGGTACCAGCCGGCCGCCGCCAGTCCCGTCGTGTCGTGCCGGCCGTGTCTCGGAGCACCGGCCCGCCTCTCGTGGCGTCGAGCCGCAGCACACTGGCTCGGCTCTGACGCCTTTGAACGCCTGCCTGCTGTACAAACGCCGCCGGCAGAGTCCGGTCCGAGCACGGCGTGCCTGGCGGCGCTGTAATGCATGGAACGTTGGCACTACGAATTGGTAGCGTTTGTGTCATGCTCTCACTGCTGTCATTCTTGCCACGTTTGTTTCTGAGAAGAACGCTATGTTCATTGACAAGTGTTATTCGGCGTCACGCTTCATTTTTGCATCTAAGTTGTTCTCATTGCACGCTCTCCTTGGAGGCTTCCGTGAGTCGCGAACTATGACTCCGTCTGTGCCGAACGTTGTGACACGCCACGACTGTGTATCAAGTGGCGCTGGTGCTATGTTCACAGGCGTCCAATCGTCGGAGTCACCACAAATGTTTTCAGAGTATGTAGAGGGAGTCTCAGGCCATGGACCAACACTCAGAAGGTGAGCATCCTCCGACCGCAGTGCTCCTCCTCTTCATCCGTCGTCCTGCTCCACCTCCTCAGTCTTCCTCCCGCTTCTGAGTCCTTCTTTCGCGTCTCAGTCCTGCTCCTCAGTCTCGGCCCTCCCTCCGGCTGCATTCGTCTGGTCCTTGTTTTCGTCGCAATCCAAGAACAGGTGCTGCTGGCTGTGCCGGGATCTTAAATATGAACAAAAAAGCCCGTCAGTAGCGTTGTGTTCAAAACATCTGAACAGATGTGCAAAACGATGTGTGGTATAAATGTGCCAAAAGATATGTAGTGTGCTCGTAATTATATTTAGTTTATATGTTACGTCACTTCACTCATATATAATGTTCCATGTTTCATGGATGGCTGCGATTAATGCTGTGAAAACACTTCCCTTATTGATGTTTCGTTTGTTCGATGGTTCTGATCAGTATTGTGAAAACAGCGTTCTGTGGTGCCTGTGATAAGTATGGTGAAGAATACCATTGGGGATATTCTTTGATGCCATTTACTCATGATGCGTGAGGCAAGGAATGGGAAAAATATGTAAACAGTTGCTGTCGAATCTGCGCGCGCCCTCGTCAGAATATGTAGACAGTGGCTGTCAAATCTGCGCGCGCCCTCGTCAAAATATGTAAACAGTGGCTGTCGAATCTGCGCGCGCCCTCGTCAGAACCTGAGTAGGGAACCACGAGAAACGCAGCAATGGTGACCCTTCTACATGTTATTGGAATGGGCAGATGTTGCACGCGACTCGCTATCAATGCCAAGCCACAACGGCTCTTACAATAGCGCACACCGGATATGTAGCCTCCGGTTAATATTTTAGCGCTCTCTTTACCTTACATTTCACGACCAAAGGACTATTCGATGTTTTCATTTGAAATGATGTTCAGAATCGCACTTTATGGAATTAAATTCAGAGAACGCTTAAATGGTTTTAAATGTGAAAAAGAAGCGTGGCCGTGCGCCTGTCCGTCCGCTAGTCCCCTACACCGACCGAAGCCGGTTGTGGCCTTGCGCCTGTCTGTCCGTGTCGGTCCCCGAATGGCCGTGCGCCTGTCTGTCCCGTGTCCGTGTCCGAGTGGCCGTGCGCCTGTCTTCCGTGTCCGTATCCGAGAGACCGCGCGTCTGTCTGTCTGTGTCCGTGTCCAAGTGGCCGTGCGCTTGTCTGCCTGCGCCACCTTTGTCCGTGCCAGGGCGGCAGCTAACACAGGCCTGGCCTCTCCGTTCCGGCAGAATGGTCCGCACCGAGACCCGCACGATGACGACGTTCGATGACGAGGGCCGACCGGTGACGCGCACGGTGACGGAGCGCATCACCACCGAGGCTGACGGCACCGAGAGTCGCCAGCTGGTGGAGACCGAGGACTAAGCGGCAGCCGAGCGCCCTGGCCGGCGCCGACGGGCGCGCTAGGCGGGCGGCGGCTCGCCATCAGCACTGGTGCGCGCTGGACAGACTGCCACCGGCGAACCGAGATGTGTCCACGGAGAGGATGGACTTGTGCTGTTTGTTACACTCACGCCGTGTTTCCTTCTGTTTATGAGAAACGGCTACTGCTGTGGGGCGGGGCGCGACGCCGGTCGCGCGCAACAGGGACCGGCCACCCGTCGCCTGGCCAGCAAATTGCCCCTTGCTGGCTGGGAGGCGGCGTCGGCCCTGGCGGACGGCGGCGGCCCCGGCCCGGGCTTTGCTTGGGTACAGGGCTTATAGGCGACCCACTGAGCACCGGCTTCAGTTGGAGATCAAAAACACTACCGTTTGGTTTGTCTATCGAAAGTGACGTTTTGTCTGAATGCTACATTGTCTAGTCAAAGGTAGCCCACTGAATGGTTGATGAAACTGTGCGGAAAATCGTTTTCTTTGTGATTTTTCATGAAGGGTCGTGTTTTTGAACGGTGGTGGTCATTGGAAGGACGCTAAATCTGTAACGTGAACGCTATGTGCTAAGAAGGGCCACTTTGGCGTGCACTGGTCATGCAAGCTGCTTTGGGCTTTGAGTATCCGTGTGTCTGTTGTTATATTGCACGCGGGCGCGCGCGCGACGCCGGGCGGGCGTGGCCTCTCTCCAATCTCGGCGCCGCCCCTGCGGCAGGTCCGGCCCGCTCGGCACGCTGTAGATAATGTACCGGCGCGGGCGTGTGTGTGCGCATGCGCGACTGCGTGTGCTATTTGGCTTCAAATACTAGTGTGCGTCCCGTATTCGCGGCAGCTTGTCAAGGCAGGTCAGGGGTGGCCGGCGGGCCTCACAGGGCCTCGGGACCGGCCGGCCACCCCTTCGCCGCTGGGGACGCCGACCTCCGCGGTGCGTGCGACATATGCCAATAAAATAAATAAAAAATAAACGCGGTGTTTAGTAGTCGGCGGTCGAGCGAGGCATGGGACGAGGCGCGGCCTAAAGGGAACCGAGGACAGACAGCGGATTTCGCAGGACTTACGGACCCGCGCAGAGACTGTTCGGGCGGCTGGGCCGGCGGCGCGGTCCCGAGCCGGGCGCGCGGCGTCGCTGCTGGAGTCACGGCGTCGAACGTGAGCACGGAGCGGCGGCCGTTTCGAGCGGATTAGGTACATTGTGAAATCAGCCCAGCTGCGACTCTGTTGTGGTGTTGAACGCTGTGATGATCGCCTCGGCTGCACTGTCGCTGTCCGCCCCGGCAACACAGTGACGTCATGACCACGCTGGCGACACTGTGACGTCACGAACGCGCTGGCGATGCAGTGACGTCACGACCGCGCTGACGATCGAGTGACGCCACGACCGCGAAAGAAAGCATGCCGCACTTGATCAGGAATCATGAGTACGCTGGGCATTCATGGGTGAAAAGCAGACATCGGATGAGGAAGAATCATTTATTTTCAAAACGAAGCTAGAGCCAAGTGACCAAGAACGAAGCTATATCACGTGAGCTTGCGCTCGCCGCTGTTCAATATGGAGGCTTTCCTCATGTAACCGCACTAGACGGCGAACAAGCCGAAGGCCGCGCTGGTACGTCCGTCATGACGATCTCGCAACATCGGGAGGGCATCCACCCTTACCCGCGTCACAGTGTCGTCTGTTCACTCCCTTAGAACTTCTGGGCATCTTGGAATGTCCGGAGAGTCCACGTCAGCGACACTCGTGGCCCACGCAGCAGGTGCTCTTATACACCTTGAAGCAGTCTTCTTAGCGCGGCAGCCGCATTGGCTATAGATTTCAGCAGTGGTTGTTTGGCTGTTTGGTAACGCGTGCCACCTTTTGAGACGATCAGCGTCAACATTTTAAATGCTCATTTCTGTGCAATATGATTCGTTGAGTTTCCACAGTTTACATGCGCCCGGGCGGCCTGCTAGATACCCTTCGCTTCGGTGAGGGGTCAATTTGATCCCCTTGAGATCTCGGGAAGTAAGAAAGCTAGAGACACCAAATTTACAGTGTGTTGACCTGGGCGTGAAGTCACTTATATTAAAGTTTGCGGGCTGCTAGGTGATTAACTTCAGTTCAAATAAGGTCAAGCAAGGTAAAATTTCAGGTTGGTCTCCAAGGTGCCCCAGAACCTGGTCAACTGTCTCTAAGCAGAAGGCCACAAGCCCATTTGAGAAGTGGCCTTGTTTGACGTTTTCAAGGTCATGTTGATCAAAATCCTACAAGACTGCTCGAGTTTTGCAATTAGATAAGCCACAAAGATTACGCTAAGGAGCACGTTCCTAAAACAAAATGTCGGACCCGGGTCATCTTAGGTTCAGCACCTGTTCTGACCTCTAAGAAGTCAGTGAAAGGTCTATAATGCGGTTCCTGCCGTCAATAAATTCGAAATGAGTACCAGAAACTATCCCATACTGCAAGCCCTAAAATAATAAATCACGTTGGTTTTGACCTAGGTCAACGTACTTGACCTGACCTTAGGTAAACGTAATTTGCTCATTCAATATTTTTGGTGCCTAAAAAAGCATCTCAGAGATGTATGGCTTCGTCAAACACTCCGTTGTTCTATCAGACTGAAAGATTCCCTAGAAATTGCGTTAGCTGAAGCCATGGCGTGACTTTGACCTGCCATAGGTCAGCGACCTTTCAAGGTACATCTATTTGTTTTCTTACACGATCCGCTATTAAATTTTCTCCAGCTATGCAAAGGTTGGCGAGGCTACGCTTCGCCGTTCGGAAACCACTCTGGAAAAACCTTCGGGGGGGGGGGGGTCATTTGACTCCCACCCGAGCGCGTGTTAAGCATGCGCAATATAAATATCGTTACGATAACTGGGAACAGGAGCGGCGTATCCAAATTTTGAATGGGGGGGGGGGTCGTCAACGACTTAACGAATGGCCTTCCAATCCGACAGGCCCCTATATTTCATTGAGGCCGTTTCTTCAGTCTTAAAATCAGCGCCTGGCCGCCTTCGTATCCCAATGAGTTGCGGTACCTGCCTCAACTCAGCTGCACCAGGGTGGCTGGATTAAAGACTCGAGTGGCTTCGGTGGTCACTATTTGCTCCTGGCGGGCAGGTCTGCGCCCGAGGTCAATGGCTACCCAAGCTCAGCGGGGTGAACCGAGCCGGACACTGCGGCACATTAAACCTCTGCCACAAAGTTCTGCCATTTAGCTGGAAGTTTACAATCGGATGGTCGGTCGCCCTCTTTCCGTAGGTAACCTGTGCCTTTTCTGGGCGTGACAAGATGGCACTTCTCAAACATAACGTAGGCCATTTATAAGTTTAACCAAACGTAGGCCCGTCCCTGGCCTAGAAAATGATAGATACCTTTTCTGCACATGAGATGCTCACTTTCTCCGTCTAAAATGGCTGGTCGCCTGATTAAAAGGGGCTCTTTTGAGTCTACTATGGCTCTTTCCAGACCAGAGTGGGCCCCCTCCGATCACACCATGGACCCCGTCCTAACCGAAAACGGGTCTTTCTGAGCATACGATGGGACTTTATGTATCGGAGATGGGTCAGTTCTATTCCTAAACGTCGATGGGCGTTTCTTATCTGGAAATGGGCTCTTTTCAGATCTGAGACGGGCCCATCATAAGCTGAAGGCGGGACACAAGCCTGGGGCACCGGGGCATATGTGTATTCCATTTGGTCCACGCAGTCCCTTAGGGCTCTTCCTGACCGACGATTAAGGACCCGACAAAGAGGCCCGAAGAGTTGGCCAGAGGATGCCTCATGGAACCGCTGCCCGCAAATGCCCATCAGGGGCCCCTTGCGCCAGTTGGGGCCCATTGGGGGCAATGAGCGCCAGCCAGCCGATGCGCGACCGCGCATTCTGAACAGTTTGCCCCGTAGCGACGTATGGCTCATTTCCAAAGTCGGGACCACCCTGGGTCCGCGATTGTCAATCAGAGGACCCTTTGCATTAGTCGGGGTCCCTGAGATAATGATGGACCGCAGTGCTGGTCCAGGGCCACACTATGGCTAACGGGGGACCCTTCGTCGGCAAGAGCCCCAAGTCCACCAGGGTTCCGTTTTCAAGGCGTGCGAAGGAACATGACCCCGGATGCCAAGGAGGCTCTTAAGTTGACCGGCCCACTGATAATGAAAGGATATAGGATAAATGTCAATAAAAGACCCAGAATAAGACGGAGTGAAAAGGCTCTGTGTCAGACACGAGCCCAATAACGAACATGGCCCTGGACGTACACCCCATTTCGGTCAAAAGCCCGATAAACCAAACTGGAGTCATCTGCCAATTGTTGGACCCCCTGTGTCGGTGAGGGATTTTTTTGGCTTTACATAGCCATCCTGCGTGGATCAGGGATCATCTGCTCCTGTCTGAGGGAAATGCGCGTCAGGGAGGGGACCGATGCATGGTGCATCTCTCTGCGGCCTTCGTGTCCGACATGTGAGCTCTGGTCACCGTGTCTCCAGAATAGTAGTCATCAAGCATCCCGAGAGGCAAGTTGTAACAGAAATCCCCTTTATACCCTGACCGGGAAAGGCATTGCTTTCCCTTGGCTTTCCTCTTACTTCTTCTTCTGTCCGCGGAAGGTAATAGGTCTCGTGAGTGCTAAATCCAAAAACTGGGCCCACTGGGCTAAACTGGGCCCCTCAACGAACTCATTTGTCGACATGATGATGGTAAATGAAAAAACCTGGGGCCCTCGAAATTTAATGGGCCAAAATGTGGTGATTTTTGGGGGCGTTATGTTACTGGGAGCCTCCTATCATGCCCCTTGTTGCCAAAATATTGACCTCTTCCCTGGTATAAGATGGAGTTTGCGGATTTGAGTTCGGCTCTCCTTGGGCATAAGTGTTCACATGGGCCGTTTCCGGACCGGAGATGTCCCCTTTCTCAGTCAATAATGTGTCATTTCATGATTTAAGAAGTGCCCTTCTTGGGTCCTCGATGGGTTCAGTCCAAACGTGACAAAACCTTTTTTGGCTCACGAAGAACCTCACCCAGACCTGAGACGGACCCATTCTGAGCTTACGATGGGACTGTCCTGATCAGAAACGGGGCCCTTTTGGGTCTACAATGGGACCTTTCCAAACGGGAAGAGAGCCCTTCTCGTGCCTGAAACTGGGGGTGGGGTGGGGGGAAGGGGTTTCCTGCATTGCAACTGACCTTTTCCGGAGGACCTGAGATTGGTTTTCTACACTTACTTTGACGACACACAACAAACAAATATCTTCCACAGATCCGCCGGGAGCCCATTCGCGTCACCTGAAATATGGGGAAGAAATAGTTTTGGCCCTCACCTGACAAATGGGTGACAGCTTGCCCTACGAGTACGCCGTCACCGGCTTTCTGAGCCTACGATGGGCCCATTCCAGACCAGAAATGACCCTTTCTCAGGCCCAAAAAGTGAGATAGGCCTTTTCCGAGCCTTTAGCCCTTCGCCTCTCAGTCTATACTGGACTCTTATCTTACTTCAGACTAGCCGTTTCTGATGTTACGATCGAATATTTCGACACTTGAGAAGACCTACTCTGAGCGTATGTTTGGGGCCTTTTCCATCCTGACACGGGCCCTTTTTGAACTTATGATGAGCCCTCTCCAGACCAGGAACGGGTGCCTACCGTGAGCGGAAGTGACTGGGTGTTTTCCCGTCTTGAAATGGGTCATTTTCAGTCTAAAATGGGCTCTTCGCGGACACGAAGCGATCGTCTTCTGAGCTTAACATGGGCCATTCCCGAGCCAGGCATGGGTCATCTACACTTGCTTTGGTAACACCATAAGCAAGTACTAATACATAACCGAAGACTCTTTCTGAGCCACCTGAAATTATATGGGGGAAGGCACAAGGATCCTTCCCCCCACCTCAAAAGATGGGGGGAGAAGTTTGCCCTCGCTGCCTCCTCCCCGGATACGTCGCCACTGACTGGAAAGCTATGTCGCGTGCAATGCAGCTAAGAACTCTTTTTGTTT